CCATTACTCCACTGTTATTTCATTTTTTTATTAGCTACTTATCTTTTTTATTTATTGTTATTGTTTCTTTTATTTGTACACTTCAATAAAAATAAATATGGTGATTTTTTTCTTTAAAATCGTAAATGTGTGACTTAAATTTTAATATTTGCAAATAAAATTTCATTAAATAAATAATTATCATTATTGATGTTTATCAAAAGTTAATATGCTGACTGCCAGTTCTTATAACAGGTACCCGCCGTTTCTTATAGCGGGTACCTGCCATTTCTTATAATGGGTACCTGCCATTTCTTATAGCGGGTACCCGCCGTTCCTTATAACAGGTACCCACCGTTCCTTATAACAGGTACCCACCGTTTCTTATAACGGGTACCCGTCATAACATATAACGTATATAACGCCATGAAATATAGCGTATTAAACGCTATTTTTTGCAACAGGTTACCCTGAAACAGACAGAACAGGGTAACCCACCGTGAAATATAACGTATACGCGCTACAAAACATAGCGTATACACGCTATGTTTTGCTACGCACTTTTGACCATGGCGGCTTTCCATAACGAGTGTCACGGACAACGCATTTATTTTTGACAACTTTTTTTTTTGAATTCAAGATTTGATGTATATTTACATTCATTAATAATATATTACATGACCATCAACCATCAATCCATCCATCCATCATACACGCCCAGTAGTATAGTGGTATCGTTTCGAAATTGTTGTTTACTCAATGTTTTCATAATCAAAAAAGTAATCTTTTTGGCGTAAAAATCATCATGTAATCACCACTGTGGTATAGTATATTTTGAAACATCATCTTCTAAATGGTTTGATCTGCAAAAGAATTTTCTTAAAAAAAAATTTCATTTCATATTTTAAAATTATTTGGTAATTAGAATAAAGTGAAAAAAAAATAAGGTTTTTAGACAGGTCAATTCTATCAATCTCTTTACAAATTGGATATAAGTCGCTTTTTATAAAACATACGGTAATATCACAAAAAAAAAAAAAAATGTGGAACATCCGATCGAAAAGAATTGTGTTCCAATTTTAGTAGCTTACAACTATAACATATGAATGACGAGATAATAGATGAGGTGAATGTGGGGTGATAATGAGTCTAGTGTCTTAGGTTACCCAGTTACCCTGCTTTTTTTTAGGTAAACAAATTTGATTCACTTTAGAAAAAAGAGTTAATGGAAGAGTTTCAAAATATTTTGACGCATTAATGCATATGATGCATATGATGCATTAATGCGTAAAAAAAAAGAGTTCGTTTTTTTTAATCAAATGAATTTATTTGTAAGAGTATGTATAGTTTTGTATGATTTTATAGTATGTGTATGTACGGATTATAATTGTAGTTGGAAGAAAAAAGAATAATTTTTCAAAAGAAAACAGTAAAGAAATACGTGCATTTAAACGCATTTAAACGCGAAATATAAACATAATTTTCTATTACTTTTTTTTTCTTTTGAAATTGTATCATAAAAAAAGACACATTTATAAATTCAATAGATTTAAAAGAATCTTTAAAAGGAACAATACCTTTTAAATTTACATCTTTTTCTTTCAAAAGTAAAAATCATTAATAAAAGTAACAGAGTTTTTAAAATCTGCATAATCTCAAAAACAAGCCAATAATTCATTAGTGCTAGAAATTATTGTTCAAAAAGCATTAACTTTTCTCCTTCAATTAATTTTTTAGTTCTTTCTTTTCTAAATTCTGGTATTAAACCCATGGAACTAATTAAATTTGCTTGATCAATTTCTTTATCTATTAATTTTCACTCTTCGCTTAAAAAATTAGTATTATCATAATTTAACTTAACAATTAAATTATTAAATAAATTCTTGAGACAATGAAATTCCATGCTTGGTAAACAGCATTTGTTATGAATTTCGATCATGTGGTATTTAATGAGGTGTATTATTTATTTATTTTGACGCCCTTGATTAAGAAATATAAGAAAGTAAAAAAAAAAAAAAATGCAGGGATTAAGTTTTTATTATTAATTTTGGCCAGAATTACAAAGAATCTTAATTCTGGCTGAAGTTATATATTACTTATATATTCAAATAAAAATATTTTATATTTATTTTCAATTTTTCATGACCTCTATGACTTAAAACTAAGATGAACAATTAAAAAATATAGTGTATATTAGTTTTATTAGCATGAAAAATTTTTTAAACATAATTTTATGGTTTTCATAATATAAAAATTTCATCAATAACCCGGCTTTTAATTTTCTTTTTTCAAAAGTTTTGTTCAATTTTTAATAAATTCTCACCCGTCATGATAGTAAAAATATAAAATTTTTTTTTAAGACTTAACAAAAACTTCGATTTGCAAATTTAGATCAGGGAGTATTTAAGAAGGGAAATTTGATTTTGCTTTTAAAAAGTCAACTATGAGAAAAGAAGAAACTGGAGAAGCGTTAGAAAGGGCCTTATTACATTCATGAAGTTTTGGCTTACAAATTAAGAACCACGGAAGCAAAAGTGTTGAGTGTCGAATTGTGAATTTTTTGGTAAAATTAATTTTTAAACTCAAATTGATATGTATAATATGTTTCTCTTATTTTTAGGTTCAAATTTTTTTGATAAAATAATAAAAAATATTTTATTTTCGAATGGTTAAAAATATATACAGTACATAAAAGTAATTGCAACTTACTTGATTTGGTTTATTATTTACCACTTTCTTTTGGTAGCATTTATAATTTAGTATGATCTTATGGTCGATTATTTGGTTATATCGGAATATGTCAAAGCCCAGCCGGTGATAACAGATTGGATAAAGTTAAATGACCTACGTAAACACAAATTTTGTAATATAAACGTGCACTTTCTAATATAGTACACCGAGGCTGCGGTTGTTTCGTCAACAATTTAATATTTATATAAATAAATTATAATGCTGTATGCATTGTTATAATTACATTTTTGATTAAAAAAAAAATTTTTATTGAAAAATGTAAAAAAGAAATTTTCGGTAAAATGTTTCTTTTATATGACTTAATAAATATTTTATTTGTTGGAAGTTTAAATTCTACCACAGTATCAACCCTTTGCATTTGAAATAACAGTTTTATTTAAAGAGAAAAAAGAAGAGATAATAAAGAATAAAATAAATAAAAAAGAATAATAAAAATAAACTATGAAATTATTAATGAGTATCGTAATATGTTTTATGAGTTTCAAGTAACCATATTCGATGGATATCTATAGTTGGAGAGAGAATAGATATGTTTGAACCTGAAAAATGTAGATTTCAACAATAGGCCATTTGAATCATTGGAAAGAAAGTGTAATAATGATAACTTTAGACCCGGGAATTTCAAATGTAAAGATTTCAGAATGGTTCGCTTGAGAAGAATAAGTCATCGGAGAAAAAGTAGGTAAAATGATAATTTTGATTCCGGGGATGTCAAATGTAAAGATGTCAGAATGGTTAATTTGAGAAGAATTAGTCGTATTAAGCGAGTTAAATAAGGAAGAATTGTTTTGAATGAACTGCGTTGCATTCTGCCCATTATATTGTGGAGGATGTGAGGAATTTGATGAAGCGTTAGGATAAGTTTGAGACAAATCAGAAATAATAACGTTGCCAGATGCATTGGTGTAAGCAGGTGTATTGGTGTAAGAAGCCGGGAATACACCAGTAGCACCACCGTTCGCCATAGGATACCCGTTATTGTAATCACAAGAAGTATTTGCATTATGGTAATTAATATTTGAATTTTCTGAACGAAAATCAGTTGTTTGTGATTGTAAATCACTATTAAATCCATTATTAGTAAAGTTGAGATTATTATCCATTTTAATAAAGTTTATAAATTGTGTTGTTTTGTCTATTATTATGAATTAAATTGTTTTTTTTCATGGTTCTGATGAGATAAAAACAGTCTTTTTATATTTATTTTTTTTCAATAATTTTTCTCTCAAAACTTTTTTATTTTCCCCGAGTTTTAAAATTTTGTTATTGCTTTTTTGTTGTTTGTTTATTTCTCATGTAACAATATGATCGGCGTCGTTTTTAGACCAACAGGAATTAATGTGATATTTCTCATGTGTCTATGATCGGCGGCGCTATTGAACCAATAGGAATTAATGTTATATTCGAAATTTGTAATACTAATGTAAATTGGCCAATGTGCATTGTGTATTACATATTATTTATTGTTTACTTAATCTTCATTTTTTTTTTTTTTACAACAGTATTTATAAACACACATATCATTCTTGAAAACAATAGTTATATTGGGAAAATTATAGCACAGATGGACGTAATTATTTACGGACGTAATAAGTTCAGTTTGATAGACGTGTTCCATTATGACTAACGTATTGCAGTTTGACAGATGTACTCTCTTATAGTAAAACTAGACGCGTTCCTATTCTCTACAAAAATAAGAGTAGAAAATTTATCTTTTTATTTGTCATCCGTTATACAGGTGATTCTAAAAAATTTAATTGAATGTTGTATCTTAAAACTTTAACATAACTAAATTTGATTATTGAACCCGTTTATCAGCCTTATTTTTTTTTTCGTTTAATTTTCATTTATCAACCTTTAATGTCGTACATCAATCAAAAAAAAAAATTAAGTTTTTTTCTTTCCCAAATGCTAAAACTAATCGACCTCATCTTTAAAACACAAACGCAACACAAATATCATAATAATAATTTATGATTCCAAACAGGGTCTATTTACCAATTTCAGATCTTTAAAGGAAAAAATAAAGTCACATGTAACATTTTCTGATAAAGAAACAAATGAAAGATAAAAAAATTAAATTTAACCTTTTTATATAGAACATAACAACAATTTTTTCTGAGATGAACTCTAAAAAAAAAAATACAGTAGTAAGTAAATAGTAATAAAAATGATAATATAATAAAATGATAATAAAATAGCAATTAAATAAACGTAAACAATAAATAAATATTAAATAACTTTAACATATCCGATTTTCGGAAGATCGATTTTTTATTCTCATTCATATGAAAAACATGATAATGTCTTTTGTTTTGGTTCACGAGGTCTCATTGATATGGTTTAAACATTTTATTATATGAATCGAAACTCTTAACTCTTTTCGTTGAAATCTTTAATATTTCCAAATAAAGATATTTGAAAAGTTATCAATAGTAGCGGGTAAAAAAAGTAAGTGTGACGATATTCCCTATAAAAACGAAATGTGTTAAATTTATTTTAAATTCGTGCTCATGTGTAATAAATGTCTAAAAAAGCACCATTTTGTTTAATTTTTGTTTTTTTGTAATAAGACATAAATCGGATAAAATGGTGCTTTTTTAGATATTTATTACACATGAGCACAAATATAAAACAAATTCAACACATTTCGTTTTTATAGGGATTTGGAAAAATTATGGATGATATTTAATAGTGTTAATAGTAGTGATGAATAATTTGTTTGACTCCGTTCTTTTTTCCCCTTCTTTTAATTCCCTAGTATTATATTTAATGTGGATTTACGCCAAATTTATTTTAATATTTACCTCATTAGTTTTTTTATATGCAAATATGCAAAATACACATAATACATAGTTTTTTGGGCCCGATTCTCGCGAAGATGTAAGAAAAAAAATTGGGAACAGAAGAGCTTACAATATTTGACAAAAACATCGATAAAATGCCTGTTCATGTGAATCAGACAAGAAGTTTACCATTGATCTACAAGGACTGCCTGTGACATTATATAGAGCTAACTCCCAATATTCTTTTACTATTACAAGGAAGACATAGTAACTGAGCCATCCTAAAGTGATCAGTACAGGAGTATCCACTCGAAGAAGGAATGATGTATCCCAAGCAAGTATACTTAGTTCAAAAGTGCAACCTACAGCCAGCAAGTGGGGAACACAAACTAATATGCCCTTATTGCACATAATTATAAATTGTGCACATACTTCCATTTTCTTTAAATGTCAGTATTTCCTTTTGAAAGTTCAATAGTCTTCAAAAAGATTTAATGGTTTTATATTTTATGAAAAAGTGGAGAGTCCCTATATTATTACATACTAGGTTCCTATGTCCGGTAAAAAAAAACTGAGAAATAGAATAATTTTTTTTCAAATTATAAGAGAAAGCAGAAAGACAAACCTACTATCTAGGAAAAGTGAAATTATTTCATTCTTCTTTGACGTACATTTGTAGTATTGACGCTATTTAGGAATACTTTTTGAAATTATTCTTAAAATAAGCTTCCCTGAAAGTAATATTTTAAGAAATCGAAAAATAAAGAATGTTAATATTTGATTTGTAGTTTAAAGGGAAGAAAGAGAGATCGCAAAATGACAGCAATATTCTAATCAAATCCATTGGAAGAATCATGTGTTCTTCACCTAAAAACCTTTTTTTCGTACCTATTCTATCCGGAACAATTGAGGAAACCTCTGGAGCTCTTCGCACAAACCACTTCGACTTCCGTTACGCTTTCTTGAAGAAAAGGATTCAATTGAGATTGGCAAAAAATTGGACCTACTTAATATTAATTATGTCAACTTTAATTCTTACTTTCAAATCAGCATCAGCGACTTCGGAAGTACGTGAGAACTTTAGACTTGTTAAAGCATCCGATAATCCTGCTTTTCGACAAGATAAGAAGCTAGAATGGCAGAAATTCGAAAAGTTTAACGCCAAATTTTTGGCGCTGCGCCTCAGTCACTTCAAGGTAGCAGGGTATGATAAGATAAAGTTGAAGGACCTTCTCAAGGGTGCGAATATCTCCGAAGACCTTCTAGATATCGAAGTTGTCCTTCCGAAAAAGTCAAACTGTAATAGTTTGTCACATCGATATCAAGTTATTAATTTCTTATCTTGTGATATAAAAAGGCACATCAATCTCAAATGCTAATCTGATATTGTTTCAGTCACTAAATACAACGAGGGTGAAACAGCAGAAGATAACAATGAAGGTATAGAGGGATTTACCAAACTTAAGAATGAGAATACTTTCAAATTAAAGTCGAAGGAAAGTTTACCGGATGAGGATACTGCAATGACCGCAAGAGTGCGACTTCATATCTTGCTGTGTTTATTGAACAGGCTATTGCAAAAATAGTTGATTTATATTAGAGAATGGGCTTTAATAAAAATTTATTCTTTATAGAACACGAAATTTGCAATCAAATTATGTTAAACATGCATCTAAATGCGGCTGGTGCATATTCGGATGCTTTTCCGACGAATCCGAAATTGTCTTCATAAATCAGCAAGTGAAAAGAAAGAACTAAATCTATTAATCGGGTTAGAATTAGGGGATGCGAAGTTTTATAGATTCCCAATCGATTACTCAAAAAAATTTAGTGTCATTGTGCTGCAACTAGAACGTGATTTGATCCCTCGACTTCAAAATATTCTCGATAACCGCGGATTCAAAGTTACGCTAAAATTGATTAGAGATATATTATCTGATTGCCATAAAAATGGCTAGGATTAGGGTTAAGATTTGGGTTAAAAATTTGACTTTAAATATTAAGATTCGAAGTAATTATACAGCATAGATAAAAAATTATACTGTATAAAATAAAAAACTACTATACATACAATAACGCATTTACTAAATTTCCATAATATTACATATGAAAGTTATTACTACTAAAAGATTCGTTCCGTTATTGAAATTGAGTTTACAAGTTATCTGTAACATATTCGATAACTAATGGAAAAATTAGTCTTCAAGTGGATTGCTTTAGGTGATGAAGTAATTACAATGGTTACTATTTGCATTGGTGTGAAACGTTATTACTTAATTCGTGATCCGCGTAAAAAGTAGAGAATCTAATTATTAAAAACCGGGGTTAAGTTATATATAGTAATATATAATAGCGCGGAATCTGAAGACGCGGCAAATTAAAGTACGAATTTTTTAAATATGATGTAAAAACTAAAACCATTAGCATAAAATTATACCATTTGGCTAACTTCTTACTGGAAGTCCGGTAAAATTTTCAATAATTAGAAATAACTTTCCTATGAGCCTAAAAGTAAAAATCCATTATTCGCAACGTTAAAAATAAGGCATTTTTTAAGCCTATAAGTAAGTCATTTATAGTGCTCAAAAAATTTACCGGACTTTCAATAAAAAGTAAGCCAAATAACATAATTTGATGGCAATAAACTTAGTTTTTATATTATATTTTAACAATTAGTACTTTGGTTTGCCATGACGTCAGATTCTACGCTATTATATAATTACCCCGATTTTTGATATAGGACTCTCTACTTTATTTGCGGATCACGAATTAAGTATCATGCGCCGTGAAAATCATTGATATCCATAGTTCCCCGTGAAATAACTATTACTTATTATCAAGAGCGTAGTGAATGACTACTAAGTAAGTAGCGTTTTAATGTTGTTTAGCCTATTAATTTATGATTAAATATTAATGACTGGTATTTGTTCAGTAATTGACTTACAATCTGGTATTCTTTTTTTCACCATTTTGAAAATGACGTTAAATTTACAAACTATATAATTTTTAAAATAAAATATTTATATGAATTTAATTAGTTTATTGAAACTAATTTTGGATAAAATGATAAAAAATTAACAATTTCTGAGGGATAACATCAATGGTTCAAAAGAAAAGTTTTTTAATCAAAATATATGATTTGAAATAAAAATATAGTATAACTACATTTATTGTATGTAATAAATATTAAATTGTTGACGAAACATAAACACAATTTTAATCCTCGATATCCTTAGTAAATTGAACGAGGATTATCAGAGGAAATTGATTTACACAAATGATCAAAAAATTAATTTTAATTTTGCATTGATAGTGTAATGCCGTAGTATACATAGTAAATTTATTAATTGTGGGGCGCAGTATTATATTTAATCTTAGTATATAAAATTTTAATTTATTTTTAGTTGTATTTATAATTTGACCGAAAAGTCGTTAAACTATTGATCAGGTGAATCAAGGATAATTGGTCCGAAAAGACTTTAAACTATTAGTCACATGATTTAAGGATAATTATTGATCCGAAAGGTATAGGATTGAGTAGATCATTACGAAAAAGGTATTACAAATCATAATTAAGGAGTTAATGATGATCTTACGAAAAATAGGAAATCATAAATATTTTGTGGAAATACTTTGAAAACAATGGAATCACTTTTAAGGTAATGGAACTACTTTGGCGTGGGCGTATGCAAAGTTGATCCATATATATAAATAGACTAGTTCAATAACTGACCATGCATGTAGGCTGAAAATTTTTTAAAAAAAGTTGCATTTTATGAAAATAAATTGTATAAAAAAATAATTATAAAAAGTCTCTGTTTCGCAACTAAGAAGATATTTTAATTCATAAATAATAGATATAATAACAAACATAATTTGTAAATCTATTAAAAATGAATAATAATAACTTTATTAATAATGGATTTAACAGTAATTTACAATCTGAAATCTTTACATTTGAAATTCCTGGGATCAAAATTATCGTTATACCTACTTTTTCTCCAATGGCTTCCTCTTTTCAAACGAACCATTCTGAAATCTTTACTTTTGATATTCCCGGATCCAAAGTTATCATTATCACACTTCTTTTCAATAATTAATAGTTGATATTCTCAGGTTCAAATTATCAACTCTGTTAAATTATTCATCGAATATGGTTACTTGAAATATTTTTGTACGTACTAAAATCATCATAATTTATTTTTATTACAGTACCGCACTGCTAAGATACCCCTTTTGAGAATATCTCCCACTTAAAATATTCGTCTTAACATATCAAATTTGTAATATGATATGTGGATTTATTTAATTTCATAAAATCAGCATATTGAAGATGTACCCCGAGTATTATACAATTTTTAAAACCAGGTATTTTGTATTATACCCGGACTATCTTAAAAACAGTGCGGTATGGCATTCTTTTTATTTATTTTTTATTTTTATTATATCTCCTCTTTCTCAGTATTTCAAATGTAAAGGGTTGATATATTTATTAATTATATTGAATCATTCTGAATTTTTTTGGTTGTAGAATGACATTTCATATTTATTCTTCCAAATTTTCTCACCTCGTCTTTAAATAAATATATACAATTTTTTTAATCAAATAATGGTCTGAAGTATAAAAATTCAGTATAACTGTATAGTTGTGTGATAATCTTTCGGTACATATAAGAGAAAAAAACTTGTACCGTTCGAATTCTAAATGTCACGTGATTTGATGATGTAATTCCGATAATTCTTAATTTCTACAGTACCGATAGTAACCTTTATTTTAGTAAACTACGATATATATATATAAATGAAAATGAAAGAAAATATCTTCATATACTGTAGACGCAATTAGTGGTATTCGTCATGTCAAATTTATTAAGACGGAATACAAAAGTTATTATTTTCTCATTTTTTTCCTTTCTTTTTTTATTTAAATGATAAAATTAATTAAACGGTAAAACTAACCTTTACCAATTAATTCAATTAGCTGAAGGTTTACAACAAAGAGAAATGCACAATCTGTATAGTACAATGCGAAGTCATTGAACATAATACCGAAAATTATGATATTAATATAGACTCTTTAAAAAATGTTTTATATTTCCATGATTTTTCCGTGAATGTCATGGAATTTATAGCCTTTAAATCATGGAAATTTTCATCTCTCTAACACGGATATCTGTGAATGTATCATTTTCACAGAACTTTTACGAAAGCCACGGAAATATTCGGATAAAAATTTTTATAGGGAGAAGAAAGAAAGTTAGCTCTTAAAGAGAGCGAATTTCAAATTTTTGCTAAAGAGGCTGCAACCAGAAAGGCAATTTCTGAAGCTGAAGCACTGGAATTACCGTAGTTAATTCAGGTAAAAAAATCAAAAATAATTATTGTAATACAAATGATGATTTGTTGCACGTGATAAATAATAGTGTAGAACATCATCTGTATAAGTCTATATACTATTTTATGTACAATATAATTGGCTTGGACGAAACTCCTGTACTATCCACGTGACTGAATTTTTTTTTTTCAGAAATATAGTGTCCTTCGTTTCCGGATATCAAATTAAAAAACGATGTTTTCAATTTTCATATTTATCGCAGAATTTTTTGATGGTGGATCCTCTAATAATAAAATACAACAATAAAAAACAACCAAAGGAAAAGCTAGTAAAGTTGATCAAAAATGTAACTATCGTAACAACTGCGTAATGATTCTTTCAATAATTGACCACAATTTGACGTTTTGACGGTATATTTTTCATAAAAATGAGATTTGGGTTTAACAAATACTTTATTTGAACGTTTAAATACCATCTTACAAATAGGAAATAATAAAAGATGATAAAAAAAAAATAAAGCAATATACTATGATAATAATAATGCGAATAATATATTTTGTGAGAACATATCAAATGAATAAGTTAAGCCTAAAAATGTTATATATAAAGATTTCATTTAAAGGAATTAATCATTAGAAAAAAGTGTGATAATAATAACTTTGGATCCAGGAATGTCAAATGTAAAGATTCTAGGATGATTCGTTTGACATTAGAGGAAAAGTAGGGGAATTTCAAATGTGAAGATCTCAGTATGGTTAATTTGAGTCATATTGAGCGAGTTAAATAGTAAAGAAATATTTTGAATGAACTGCGTTGCATTCTGGCCATTATATTGCTATTGTGGAGGATGTGGAGAATCTGATAAGAGAGGGTAAGATTGAGATAATTCAGAAGTAGTAACGTTGCCAGGTGTATCGGTATAAGCAGGTGTATCGGCGTAAGGTGCCGAGAATACACCAGCCACCGTTCATCATGGGATACCCATTATTATAATCGCAAGGAGTATTTGCATTATGGTAATTAATATTTGAATTTTCTGAACGAGTATCAGTTGTTTTTGTGATTGTAAATCACCATCAAATCCATTATTAATGAAGTTGAGATTACCATTTTTATTAGATTGTGTTGTCTTATCTATTATTATGAATTAAAATTTTTTTTTTTGATTTTGATGAGAAAAGCAGAGACCTTTTTATTATTTTTTTATACAATTTATTTTCTATACAGGAGACCCGAGTTATATATAAATAGGTCGGGCAGCTCTACGCATTTCTTCAGGGCCGGCACTATGTAATGCTGGTCGGCATTATCCGCAAATGGAGGCGATCTACATGATTTTGGGTAGCTCGACTAGCTCGTGTAGAAATTCGGGATCGGCAGTTTATTATAAATATTCAACCTTTTTATTCAATAACTTTCTTAAGTAAAATAAGTCTACACCTTTTTTGACTAGTTTAAATATAGTGCCCATTAAGTATGGCTATTTGAAAAAAATAATTACATACAATGTAATGAGTAATATATTTTTTAAGTTTACGTCTAAGCAATCATATCAGCGGATTAATCAACGTGTTAATTTTTGATATCTTTGTAAGCCAAAAATATAATAAATATGATTCTGATAATATTGATAATATCTGTTATGGATCTCACTTTACACAATAATTTCTGATGTGTACAATGAAATAGTGAAATAGTTATATGACTTGAAAAATATAAAAAATAGACAATTTTATAAAACAAATTTTTTAAACAATATTCATTGAGTTTTAAAAATACTTTTAAATATTCATAGCTATTGTGGCTATATAAATTTTCTATTTTACATTTTGTTTTATTAAAGCATACTTACTTTCTAATCATACACACTAAAATTACTATGCAGGGTTTTTTGTTAGTGAAATGGTTTTTTTTGCGTCTACTTTATAAAGTTTCGCAAAATGTAGATTTTTACTCAACTTATCAGGAGTCTATCAGGTGATTTTCGGAAAATCTTTCAGATTTAGCATTTAACGCAAAGTAACCAAATCCGCCGATATGTATTCCAAATTATTAAATTCTCCCTAACTAGAATGTCTACAAACTTTTTGATATTAAGTACTACCTCTTGTATTGTCGTTATAAATTATAATTTAAGAAATTTCCTATAATAGCAGACTTAGAATAGCAGACCACGGACTCTAATAGTAGGTATAAGTTTAAAGGAAGACTAGTAATCTATCTATATAATAATATTCATTCGTTTTTTTTTTACTCTCAAATAAGTTACATGTCATTGACAATATAGATCTTTGATTATTTTCTTGATGTGACGTAATGTACAAAACTGATCAACTACTTTAATATCAGAATTTGGAAGTTATTTAAGTTATTTTTTCTTGGTTCAACTACTTTAATATCAGAATTTGGAGTTATTATTAGGAAGTTATTGTCTTATCTGTTATACATGATTCCGTAGAATGTCGTACTGAATATAGACCAAATAAAAGCAAACAAATATAGTATAGTTTAATACTCAACTTTACTATCGACGTCCTATTGTAACAACAGTGTAACGATTCTCACATTTTGATACTACAGTATCATAAACAATAAATGTGATTTAACTGAAATAAATAATATAATTTATTGCTTGCGTTAAACCTTTTACATTGAAATACCAGTTTACAAGAGAGAAAATATAATAAAAAAGGAAAAAGAATAAGGAATAATTAACTTTGGTAATTGGTACTATTAATATTTTTGTGAAAATCAGATAGTAATGAATATATCAAATTTAAAGATTCATTTGAGGAAAATTAATTACGAGAGAGAAAGTATGATCATGATGACTTTGAAATCAGGGATATCAAGTGTAAAGATTTCAGAATTGTTGGGAGATAAAGTAGGTATAATGATAATTTTTAGTCCAGGAATACTAAAAGTAAAGATTCCAGAATGATTCGTTTGAGAAAAATTGAGTTGTGGCGGTGCATTATTCTGCGGAGCATATTGTGGTAGGTTTGGTGAAGGCAAATTAGTATTTCTAGCTATATTAGCCGGATCGTTTACCATGTTACTGCCATTATTATAAGAATTCTCCGTTTGATCTTGGTTTGGTGGCTGATTAAATCCATTGTCGGTAGGGTTAAAATTATGATTATTATCCATTTTGTTACAGAGTAGAATTTAAATTGATTTTTTGAAAGAAATTCTATATGTTATTATAGAAGACGAAAAAGAAGTGACAGACGGTTAAAAATGTCGTCTTAATATACTGAACTAATATTTATTAATATACTGAAAAGCAAAGGATATCTATAATTATTTAAAATAAATTGGAACAAACGGGTCAAGCAATACTTATTCCTATAAAGGATAAGCTGCCCTTTGTGGATTTTTTTTTAATTTTTAATTTTTGAATTTTATGAAGGATAAGATTTTTTGTCCTTTGAAAAAAAAAAGATACTAATTTTTTGAAGAATAAGTCTGTCATAAGTCTGCCCCATTTATATGTGCCAAGTCGTACAATTTTTGTGTGCGTATAAAGACAATGCTTCAATGAAATTATGGTTATATTTAAATGATCAACAATAAAACGGGCGTTATAATTAACATATATGGAATTATGAATTATGATTTTAATCTGAGGCTTAATCTGAATCTAAGGCACATCATAATCTATTTTGACAATTTATCACACAGTTTAATAATTCACATCACATGATCATAATATAATATAATTTCTTAATAATTCCGACCAGAATTAAGATAATTATAAAGTGGACAAAATTGTCCGGGAACAAATTTAATAAAATATTTAATTTACAAGCAGCTTAAATGACACTTTTATTATTAAACTAAAATAAGAAACTAGCAAGTTGAAACCTAAAAAAATATATTATTAAGGACTACCTCACAAAAATTTAACGAAATAGCCGGCATTACACCCTATAAAAACGAAATGTGTTAAATTTGTTGTTCATGTGTAATAAATGTCTAAAAAAGCGCCATTTTGTTTAATTTTCGTTTTTTTGTAATAAGACATAAATCAGAAAAATGGTGCTTTTTTAGACATTTATTACACATGAACAATACATTTCGTTTTTAAGGGGATACATTTTAGCTGAAGTTAGTAGTTGTGACAGATAATATTGACAAATAGGATTTTTACTACTTGAAACGCGGAGCCTGTGATGAAAAGGCCACGTGATTTTCCGTGACATTTTTCAACATGTACTTATACCACAATATAATATAGCGAATATACCGTCCATAATGTTGATCAACCTATCAAAATATCAAAATTTCTGTGCAATATTTTTATACCCGCAACATTTTGAAAAAAAATTTAGAATTAATAATGTTAATTGCCGATTCGCCACTCAGCGATATCGGCAATCTATAATTAATCTCGTCGGACATTTTATATTAAATACTATTGCTTCTGAATGGTGTTTGCACAAGTTTGAAAACGTTTTGTTGTAATATAAATGCCCTAAAAATACATTTAAAAAAGGTGTTACATTACTTAGGTATAGTTTTATAAAACTGGTAAACTAAAACATTGCCAAAAAAAAAAATTTTTTATTTTCTTTTTTTTTAAAACATTATTTTGTTAATCTAAGCAAGAATATACCGTATATTATATAATAGTACATAAAAACCTTGTAAAATTTGCAAAATTCGCGAATAATTGGTGTAAAGTTACCTAAAATATGAGCTGGAATGGTGACTTCCTCCAAAGTAAACTCTTTAAATTTTATAACAAACGAAAAAAAAATTTTTTTTTGTGACATATTCACGTTTGGCATTATTGATTGGCAAAGTATGGTTACATTAAGCATGACTTATGTAGGACAAAATCGGAGTTGAAATGTGCCGATCAACGTCATTCATATAAGAACTTGTGACGGATCTACTAATCAATTTGTATTCGGATTGGCAATTAATACAATTTGCTAAAATTTTCAATTATTTTAATATAATTTATTATTTTTTAGCAGGTTCTATATAATAAATCTATGTCACGCGTTTCATGTTCATTTTTTACCGTTTATTATTGTTGGCGCATCCGGTTACAATCACGTGAATTTAAGCAACGTCATTTGACTTTTAAATTATTATTGCAAAATAATATTTAATAGTTATTCGGCTCGAAGTGCCGAATAAGTAATTTATCCGGTATCCCATGATTTGAATATACACGAATTTTTGCCTTTTATTATAACCATTTTTAATTATAAAAAATCACGTGATACCGGTCATTAAGCTAGACTCCTATATTTTAAAACCCCATTAACAAAATTATTATTTTTTTTTAAGGTAATGAGACTTTAATTAAAGCTATATATTGTTTATTAAACTTTATTAAACTTTATATATTTATTATAAATAAAAAATGATACATGATAAATTTAAAGTAAAATATACTGCCTAAAATTAATCTACAGACTAATTTCGTATCAAGCACTTGCAATAAGACCGTACCATTTAACCAAATTTAACTTTAAAATTTGAATAATTTAGTTAAATTTTAGAACAACTAAATGTCAATGTAATATTCTTAAAAATAATTTAGTAATAATTTAGTGATAATGGTCTTAACAATTTTAGATAATTAAATATAAATATAGTATTTTTTATGATAATTATTAAACAATAATTTAGTATAAATGTAATAGTTTTCTATAACAATTAAGTAATAATTTAATGATAATAATCATGCTAATTTTATACGATTGAGTGTAAATATAGCATTTTCTATAACAATTGAGTAATAATTTAGTAATAGTCTTAATAGTTTTGGATAATTGAATGTAAATGTATTAGTATTCTTTATAATAATTGAATAATAATTTAATAATAATCATAGTCTTGACAGTTATAGATAATTGAGTACAATTTAATAATAATAATGAATTGACAATTTAATTGAATTTATATGTATAGTCGCACCTCCATAAGTGCATGCGGCCATGCATGTGCACTTAAAAAGGGTGTGCATTTAAGGAATAACCAATAGAAAATTGATATTGTTACACATTAGCAATCTAAAAGAACTTTATTTATTTAAATTCAATTTTATTTTTTTATTTTTGCTACACCATTATGCTGATATTTATTTGATGCAGACTAGTGTTAATTTTTCAATAAAAAGTTACTGTGCGGATGGTGCACAATTTATTGTGCGACAAAGTGGCATTGTTATACTGCTATAATAGGTACTGTAATACATATACGCCCAATCACATAAGGATATTTCAAAATTTTTTGTGCGCATGCCGCACATCCTTTCTAAAAAAGGTGTGCGCAAAATTTTGATGCGCACAGCGAAAAATAAAACACTGTTCGTGGCATATTGAATTAAAAAAAAAAAAATTTTTTTCAAAAAATTTTTTCTCAATAAAATAAATTTCTAAAATAACCAAATGGGAACTTACCTTAGTAATTTAAATATCTCAGATAAAGATATTGATACAATAAATACCAAAAATTGTTGTAAACCATTTACTGAAGAATTATGGTGTAAAGAATGTATTAATTCTTTAAAAAGATCAGCAGAAAATGGTGATAAAAATGCTATGAATAGTTTAGCCATATGTTATAAAAATGGAAAAGGAACAGAAAAGAATTTAAAAAAATCCTTTCATTGGTATCAAAAAGCAGCAGAAAATGATGATAAAAATGCAATGAATAGTTTAGCCATATGTTATGAAAATGGAGAAGGAACAGAAAAGAATTTAGAAAAAGCCTTTT